TACCATAAAAGATTTAAAATAAAGTTGAGGCTAAGTATATGTTAAATCTTCGATGTTTGGAAGTATATTTTTTCTCTCTCTTCGGTTTAGTCTTATTTTATAAAAGATTTCAATCTAGTCTCGAATGTTTAAATATTTTTTAATTTAATTTTTCATAATTTGCCAGAGGGAAGTGAATTGACGTAAAATTTTAGAGGAGAAAATATATCATAAAAAAAAATTTCAAAACTTTTTTTCTAATATATAACGGGGAATCAAAGCTTTACTCCTCTATATTCAGGACGCTTGAGCCTGCACCTGGGCTCAAATACGAGGGACAGGAGTTTCTGTATCTCTAAGCCAGTTTGACCAAGAGATTTCAAGCCGTTGACAACCACGCTACCCTTTGAATTTCTATAAAATTTTTAAAAATTTAGAGAGAAAATTAGAGTTTTTCATCTCTTATATAAATTTATCCTCTACATTTTCAACAATTCACTAAAATATTATGTTAGGTAAGTTTATCATTAGTCAATTTTAACATTTACCAATAGTTAGAGATTAAATTAAAACTTTTAAATAATAGAGACTAAGTTCAACATATATTTGGCTTAAAATTTAATTAGAAAAACCATTTTAATCAAATTTGGGTTTAAATCTCATTTTACTCTCTTCAAATTTATTTTAATCCTTCAACTACCACAAAAACAAAAAAAAAGGTCGGAAAGGAGGAAAAAAAAAAGAAGTACTTTCATGCTTGCTGTTATTGTGACATTTAATATTTCACTCACGCAATAGAACTTAGCCAACTTATGTGTTTTCCTTAATTTTCTAATACTCTTGAAACACTCAATTCTTTCGTCCATACTATTATAACTATCCTTCAGAATAATAATTTTATTTTGTTAAATTTAACATAATTCTAATGCATTGCTAACTTAGATCCATGTAGAAAAATTAAAAAAAAAAAAATTTAAATACTATTTGTGCAAGGGCTGGTTCAAATTCGGTGACTTTCCAAGCTAAGGACCATCGCCCCTTCGATCGCAGCCCTCTCTCCTCTTTGCCACTTCCAAGCCTCCTCTACTTTGCCGTTGTTCAAAACCAACCTCGCCGCAATCGTTTTCAAAATCTTGCTTCTACCGACTATAATTCATAGAGTCGTCTCTATGAATGCCAAAGACAGATAGATTCGTTACCTTTGAAAATTCCGTTATTTTTGACGGACGATGAAAAAAAGCTGAATACCATAGAATAGTATTTTCCGTTTGTTTCCCCTTTTAGAATGCAGCGCTATATTTGTGTGAACCACAGGCACGCCCTTAATTAAAATTTAAGACGTCCACCCCCGAGTGGGAGAAAATTTTATTCCATCCTCTCAGAAGAAAGCATCAAGACATTTTTTGTTGCAAACACAACCCACAATACAAATAATTTCATCTATTTATAGTAATCATTGATATTTCTCATGCAATTCTCCAACAGCTCTGCAGATGTAAACTTCTGAATTATCAGTCAATTAAACAGCAACTGACTGGTGAGATTCAAATTGGAATAAATTTATGAATCAGAATTGTTCCATTCGATCAAGTCCATTGAAGCGAATCCCAAAAAGAAGCAAAAAAACCAGGGTCTGGAACTCTCTACTACATCCCAATTCCCAATACACACAAGCCTAAGATTTTTCAACATCCTAAAGCTTAGATATGAACACACACTCGTTTCCTTCACAGAAAGACAAATGAATAATGCTTCAGCTTCCAAAATATCAAATTTTCAGATGAGTTTATTCTTCCAAATGGCACCATTCAGTGCATAGAACTCAACCCAACCCTCACAAAGAAAAAGGAAAAACAAGACACAATGAATTATAAACTGCCCTCCAAATATTTGGCTGAAAAAATATGGCTTCGGCCAAAAAAAGAGATCAACACCCTCCCGTTCAGCTTGCAGCCAAGAATTCCTTTAAATGGAGCCCTCCTCACAGGCTTAGAAACTCAATTATGAAAGATTATTGGAGTCTTATCCAATGGAAACTGAAATCTTCACTCAGAAATCTTGCTTCTGCGCCGGGAGCCTATTTTATACATCCTTCTAAATACTCTCTACCTTAGAAAGAAGCCTTCAAGCGCACTTTACACTTTACTTCCAGTTTACCCACTAGTACAAAAGTTATAAAGCTAAAACTACAAATCAAAAGAAGCTTTGTGCAATGGAATTTGATTCTATCTTCTCATCTCTAATTATAAGTAGAAGTGGTTGTAAAAAAACGCTTACCAAACAAAACAACCAAACTTCAACTTCTTTGGAAGAATCTAATGTGTGTGTATCCTTCAGAAAACGTGCACAATCCATTATTGATGGGTGCTAATTAAGAAGAGCCCAAATACAGAGCAGAGCCTCCACTCATCCAAAATGAAACCTAGAAGAAACAGATATATTTATAGCATATAAAACCCCAATTTTCAGTGAAAACACGAACCATATACAGACTAGAGAACCCCTGCAATCCGCATCAGTCGCAGGAAGTGGATTGAGCTAAGAGAACAAATGAGCAAAAGAACTATCTAGTTCCTTTTGATTCGTCCACAATTGACAAAATTGAAACCTCAAGGGACCACAACGATTGTGTAATTTACAGAGCAAAAACCGAGAACAAAGCGTTATGTCATCAGGTCAGATGCGAAACCCGAAGAACATTTTATCTAAGGAATGAAAAGATCCGAAAAAACAAGATATTCGAAAATGACAAAAGGATTAAACTCCCGCGCCGGATCGCGCTCGATAGAGCTTACCAAAGACGTGGAGGCCGGTAACGAATCCGATGAAACAGAGGCTCATGACGAGGACGACGGTGGGGGAAATCTTCAAGCCAGGAGCATCGTCGGTGTAGAACCTCAACATGTTGCCACCGCCACTCGATCCGGCGCCAACAACTCCACCAGAGCCGGCGGAACCAGTGGATGTGAGACGACGTCGACGGAGGCCGGCGGTCGCCGCCGCGGAGCCACGCGGAGCCGCGACGCCAGGTCTGGATGTCGAAGAGGATGCAGATTGAGATTGAGAGGTGCCTCTGGCCATGGATTGGGACGCGGAGGAGAAGATCGGAATTAGGCGATTCGGGAGAGACGACCGAACGGTGGAAAATGAGAAACAAACCAGAACCTTCACAGACTAATGAATCGTGAATAAATAATAATATATAAACTTTGGGGGTAGTTTCGTAAATTGCAGGTGCTTTCTCAATACTTATATTATAAATGAATTAAATAATTCTGAACCTTTTTGTTTTATTCTTTTATCTTGGATAGATATTTTATGATTATTTACAACTGATTTTTTACAGATTCATCGATTATTTAAAATGTATGTCAATGTGTAATTTGCCAAATCGGAAAAATAAAAATATGATGATTTAATACTGATTTTTTTTTTTCATATTTTAAATTGGACGAGATTGTTACAATACAACATAGAACAAATAATAATTGACAATTATGTTTTTCAATTATCTGACATTTGAATACAGTAATAAAAAGATAGGTAGAAAAAGGAAGCAAATAAAATAATTTACATTTATTAGCAGTTTACAAAAATATCCAGATTCAGGCGTAGGCATAGACAAAACACTCCAGTCTAGTGCGAAACAGGAGGATCGTGAAGCGTAGGCGTGTCACGGCGGGCGTCGGCGCCACGTTGAGGCGGGCCGTACAAGACGCGAAGGCGGCGCGTGGTCCTCTGGCGTGGGTCCGTGGGCTCCCCGTCGCCGACGTAGTGAACCACGGCCACCGTCAGAAGCAGCACTCCCAAGCACAGTACGGCGTAGCAATGGCGGCCCAGCCTCCCCAGAAGCGCGCCCACCGTCGTGTCCATCTCCATCTCGAAATTTTCTAAATTAGTGGGAATTTTGGGTATGGGAATTTAATATTTATAATGGGATGAGCTGAAAAAGGTTTTTGGGGAGTCGATAATTGATGAAAGAGTGGGGAATCGGATAGGGATGAAATGGGATTTCTGTGGGCAATGGCCATTCGGTGGGGACTAATATTTCTGACTTTTCTCCATTTTCCAAAATATCTATCCCCTTCCCTTCATCCTTACACATGTCCCGTCAATTTAGCTAACAAATCTCTCAACCTTTTTTTATTCCATTTCTTTCTTTTATAGAGTTAAAGAAGCCTTTTAGGCATTTCAATGATTTGGTATTAGACAAAGTTCGGAACGTGGATGTGGATGAAAATTTCAGAACCGGTAAACAAAAGTTTTAATTGTAATTTAATTGCACTATAATTGACTACATTGTAATAATAAAATCTAAGAGTATGAGTAATAATTATATAAAAATATTGACGTTGATAAAATTTACAAAAAGCTAAATGACAAATGTGGAGATTGATGAATAACATGATTTGAAGTAATAAATGAAACTTTATTTTAACTTAATTATGATGTAATTTATCATTATTGATACTTTCTTTATGTTCTTTTTAATATCTCGAAAAAATGATATTGATTCATATATTAGGATCCTTCGAAATGTTGCTGAACATTTTAAATAGTAATGTATATTAGTATTGATATTGTACTCTTTAAAATAGACTTTGATCTCTATTGATATCGATATTTGAATTATTAACTATATCTACGATTGAGAGATAGAGAAGAGATAGAGAGAATTTATTAAAAAAATATATATTTGATTTAATTAAAATACATAAATGAAATAAAACAACCCATTTAAAATAAATAAATAAATTACTAGTCATGTGAGTAGAATAATATACAAAATGATGAGAAGATGAGAGAGAGGGTGATAGTTGGGTGTGGCGTTTACGTGATAGACTATGGGAGAAAGAACGAGAAAATACTTAGGTCAAGATCTATCTTGTATTTATCGAAACTCCCATCCCTCTCTTTTCTTTTTAATTGTCCAAATTGAGGAGGAAGAGGGAGTAGAGGGTACAAAACGATCAGATCCGAAAATTTCTCTATAATATTGGAGCATCCATCCGAGCCCATTATGTTGTTCAAATTGAATGATGGAAATGGAAGCGCATATTTCGAAGACAGAAAATAAATAAATTAGAAAAGTTTTATTTTTCTTCATTTCCTTTTTACTATACCCCATCGCCCCACCCTTATTTCCTATCCAACCTATTAAAAAAAGGGGAAAGAAACGGAAACGAAGTATAATATACAAAAACAATGCAAGAAATTGCATCATTTTAGAAAGAACGACTCCAATCATCCTCCTCTATAAATTAATAATTAAAAAGAAAAAAAAACTGAGAAAGAATTAAATTAGCCTCATAATGTATCAACTCTTCTATCAAACGAAAATTCCTTGGGCCCCACATCAATCTCGTGCTGCTCCGCAGTATTGGTCCGTTGGGCCTCCGGAGCCGGGACCTGGGTCTGGTCGGGCCGCGTCGAATCCTCTCCGGCGTCGGTTTCGGGAGCCTCGAGGTCGCGGTGGTGGTGGTGGCTGTAGGAACTGGAGCCTTCGCCTTGTGGGTGGCGGTGGAAGTGGTGGGAGGGCGATGGGGATTCCGGGTCCCACTGGTCGTTGTCGAAATTGGATCTTCTCGGGGAGGTGTGGACGCTGTCCAATTCGCTCCGGTAGTGGCGGAGGAGGTGCACCGGCGACATGTGGTGGGAGGGCGTCGCCGGCCGGCTCGACATCGGCGTCACGGAGCCCCGGTTATGCTTTATGTGTTTTCGGGCCGTGTGGTGCCAGTTTCTCAACGCCGTCGCTACTCTCTCGTTAAAAATCGTCGGCTTCATCGTTGAACCCATCTAAAAAAACAAATCAAATTCATAAAAAAGTATAGAGTAAAAATTATTTAAATAAAACATAAGGTTTTAAATTGGGTACCTGTGTGACCAAAGCGTAGAGGGGCAACGTGACGTAACTGCAGAGGATCTGTACCAGGACTCTGTTGCAATATTGCAATTATAATCAGAATTTGATTAAATACTTTCTATTAATTAATGACTTTTTTTTTTTTTTAGTGTAAACGTACCCCATTGTAATTCTTATAACCAAATCCTCCGTGTGCTCGTGGAAGCAAGATTTCATCCCAAATTCTTTCTGTAAAATTGAAGATTATTACATAAATAAATAACCCACAAGGACGCTATAAAATCGAATTATAATGAATTTAAATTGAATAATTACCCAAGTCCAAGCAAAGAAGGCAAGCTGAAAGGCATTCTGAAAGAGCACGAAATTGATGAGATAGAGGATGAGGCGTGGGCGGTTGAACCAAAACAGGTCATCCCCTGGCTCTACCACCGGTACCCCCTTCACCACCTCTCCTCTCTCTTGAATCCTCAGGGCCATTTTCGTAATTATAACTTGCAACTTCGTTCCCACCAATAACACAATCTGCACATTTCATTTCACAATTATCATTTTAATTATTTAATTAATCACCAGCCCCCCTCGTCAAATATCAAATTAATCTTACAATTAATGGGATAAACGGCAGCCATAGATATGCCCTCCACCCTGCACATAAACACAAAAATTGGTCAAATCAGTGTCGTTAATTTTTAATCAATAATTAATAATAATTCTATTTATTTTACACACCGTGGGTGTTGAAGAGCAGGAAGAGGACGGCCAAGAACCAGATGGGAGGGCTGAAGATGAGAGTTTAATTAATTAGCATTGAGGGGTATGAAATGTGAATAAGTGATATTGGGAGGGGCTGAATTGGAATAAAATTTACCTGATACCCACAACCACCTTGAAATCTTCTTCCAGGGAGCGTTTTATGTACTTTTGGAAGTCAAATTTCTGATCGCTGTGGGGTGCCAGATGCGCCTGTTCCATAATATCAACTTAATTGTTATTTAAATATCAATTATTAACGTAAATAATAATAATATAGACAGATTAGAGAAAATTTGACTAACCATGACGAAGCCATGCCTTAAGGTCAAGTAATCAACCTTAGGAACCGACCTAACAAATTGTCGGAAGAAACAAACCTACACCCAAAAAAAAAAAAGTACAGATTCATTAAAAGACTCAAAATGGATACCAAATATTAATTGGATTTTGTCAATAGGGTTTTTCTTATCATATATATATTTATTAATCTAGTTGGACAATTAATTACCTACTCAATCAATGTATAAAATCCTTTCAATAGTCAATGCCCGTCACTCACGGTAAATCAACCATAAATAAATATCATTCAAACTAGATAGATGTCTAAAGAACAGAGTAAGTAAATGGATTGAATACGCAATTTAAGAAGCAATCAAGGAAAGAGAAATAAGTAGACTAGGGGAGGAGGAGGTGATTAATGAACCAGCAAAGCATTGAATACAAAAGAAAGAAAATAAAAAATAAAAAAGTCAATAGAATTTAAAACTCTATTGACATAAACACTGACGGCGTAAGCCACGGACACAGAAGCGTGAAAAGATAAAATTGTCCCCTCAATTAAAAAACAACAAAAAGGAAATAAACCAAAATCTCCCAAACAGATCATTCAACAATGCAATATATATATATATTCAATCCCAGACGCCCATTAAATTGGATCAAACGAAAAAGTCAAAAACGCCAATAATTCGTCCAAAAGTGGGGTCCTGAAATTATAATTTATAAAGTTATTTCAGAAAAGGAACCACATCCGGTGGTCATCCATGCAGCCGCATTACCATTCGGTGGTGGCCCTAATCTAATCTAACAAACTCTACACACGTTCAAGAAAAAAAAGAGTTTCCAATTAATTAATAATGCTTTTTTCTCTTGACCAATTAATTCATTAATTAATAATGCTTAAAATTAATTAATTGCGATTTTTTTCTTAATCTGTAAAATGGTAAAGAAAAATAACATGAATATGAAAAATAACTTACCATCCATATTAGAAAAGGCGATTTTGTCCAAAAGCTCAAGTGCCTTCTCCCGAACGACGTGTCCCTTGCAAACCTGAATCTTTCTGGATCTGTCGTGTAATTTAAATAAAAACATCATTAAATTGAATTCAAAACATGTTCTTTTTTTTTTTGGTTTAATTTGCGGAATTGAATTAAAAATTTAATTACCATGTGAGAATTGGTACTCCACGGTTCTTGTTTCCTTCTCCCACGACTTCCACCTTCTCATCTATTTTCCAAAAATTCCATTATATAGAGAGAGAGCCAAAAAAAAAAAATGATGACGTAATAAAAATGAAATTTACGTACCTTGGCATTCCCCAAAGCCAAAGTTAAGACACAGTACAGAACATGGAAAACGGCCAACACGAAGATGAAGATATGTAGCTGATGTATGCCTCCTTCCGACACAAATGGAACTTTACCCTGCATTTATTAATAAACCATAAAAATTGCTTCATTTTTTAACTTTTCCATTGCCCGAAACTATTAATTAAAAGTAAAAATGGAAAAATAAAAGGAAAGGTCATGTCTTGTTGTTCTATTAAATCTCTCCTGGCGGCAACAATGGAAAAATAAAGAGAGAGGGAAGAAATTTAGTTTGATTATTAAATTGAAGTTCCGTTGCTTGCTTGTGGAAGTGGATCACCATATTAAAATTTCAAACCGATGCCTTTTTTTCCATACCCTTTACGAAGATTCCGACGTCGTTTTCATGCGGCTTTGATCAAATACTTCGCATATATTATATAAAATAGTAATGATTTATTTACGGTACTAATTTTAAATTGGATACTTTTATATGTACCTTTGCTGCACATTTGTCGGTTCCACCGGCAGCGGCGAGGACGCGGCGGAAAGTTGCATTCACATGCGAGACGGCCAGAAGTTTCCGGCGATTGTGGTCGGAGACGACCAGGTCACCTTGCTTGGTTATCTCCTGCTCTCTCTGGGGGCTGCATGGATGCCACGTGGCAGCCACGTCGGGCGGTATACAAACGTTAGTGATGAGACTTTGCGCTACCGTCAGCAACAACGATATGAACCCCAATAGCATTAGCTCTGCAATTTGATCAATAATTTTAGGTTTAGATCCAAATTCGATGTAATTTTAAAGATTTTTTTTTCATCTTGGTTTTAAGATTATTCTAATTTTATGTTGAAATATTTAAAATTAATGAGAGTTTGAGATTGGGTATAGCCGTATAGGTACCTGATTTGATCTTCTCGAGCGCTTCATATAGAGCTCGTTTGTGCTTCTTCTTTAGCCACTGCGGTTTAATAATGAAATTCAGACCGACAAAAAATTGGAATCTTTTAAAGTGTGCAAATAAATGGACGGCAAAAAGAAAAATGAGGGGGTCAGTGAAACGGTGCGTTTAGGGTTTAGGTACCTTTCCGATGAGGTGGAGAATGTGTTCGATGATAATGGAAATCAAAACCAAGACGAAGCAGACGACGGCGACGGCCCACGTCGGCGTTTCCTCCAACGATCTTCCGGCACCGCCTCCGGCCATGTGGGTTTAATTTTCCGGGAAAATTGAAGGAAAAAAAGAAGAAGAAGAAGAAGAAGAAGAAGAAGAAGAAGAAGAAGAAGAAGGTTGTAAAAGAAAGTTATGGAAATTAATTAAGGGAGAAAAGAAAAAAAAAAGGATAGAGAGATGGATTGGGGGAAGGAAAGATTGGTATTTGAAGAGAAAAGGAAGAATATAAAAGAGAGTGATTGAATCGGGGAGGTGGAACTTGAAACTGCAAGTGGAGGCGATGACTTTGACTTTAGAACGCGTAAGCGAAAAAGAGACACACAAGGACGAGGGAAGACTCTCTGAATTTTTTTATTTGGTATTTTTTTTATTGGTTAAAATATTATTTCGTCCGGTTATTTAATTTATCTCGGTCCTTGTAGTTTTTGTATTTGATTGTATTGTACTCTTTTAAAAGTAACTATTGGTCTTTTAATCATTTATAATCAGGATATATATTAAAGATTTTTCATTACCTATAGAATTTGTATTAAAAATTTTGTAAATATACATCAAGTTATTACTTAAAGGTAAGATAATCAGAACAAACATTTGAGAAAGGAGTAATCAAAATTAATCATATTTTTAATTAATTTTGTTTTTATTTATTTATTTTTAATCAAGGATCCTTCAAATCAAGCCCTGTTACTTCATGACGTACCCCACTTAATGTCATTTTTTTAAAAATGTGTCTCCCCATTTTCAAAAATTAGGCTGCCTTTTTTTCCCACCATCTCAAATCAATCATCATCCATCGTTACCACAATAACTCAATTAAATGTCGTATTAAAAAATGAAAAGAAAAAAGAAAAAAAAAACCTCAATTAATGGCACTTCTGATATTGTAAAAACCAAAAGATATTAGGCTGCCTTTCATGGTAGGTGTTGCAGTTTTTTTAATTTTGATGTTGATGTCAATTTCGGAATTCCATGACTTTAATCTTTGGGAAGATGGTATTTTGATTGCCCGAAATTTTAATTTAAACTAATTCTAATTTATTTTTTAATTAATTAGTGCCTCCATTCTTTTTGCGAAGATATATACTTTTTAGCATCTCGATCACTTAAACTACATTTACGTTTTCGTTGGTAATTAAAATTGAGAATAGATGAGGAGATAAAAAATCTCTATATCGATGTCCATGAAATTTGTTTTTTGAATTACTATATTGAGAAAAACATATAGTTTATCCAAAGTGCATATTCAAACCCATGTCTCATTTTTTCCAGCTGCCCCTCCCTCAAGGAGGAGAAACTTTTTCATTGAAGTACATTCAGGAGAAAAATGATTTTGGTGTTTTTTTTTTTGTTGAAACAAAAGACCAATAAAATGTTAAAAAAAACAAGAGTAGGTATTTAAAGAGAGAAAAACTATAACTCAACATTGTTCAATCTATTCATTATGTTAATATCTTTTTGCAATTTCTTCAATGATTCTAAACACATCCTAATTAAACAAAACATAAATTAAATCTCAATTGGTCAACAATTAGTTCTCTCTTAAGTAAATTATAGATTTGAATTTCTTCTCCACGAACGTCGATTCAGCTTGAATGAGCTATAAAAGAAAGCTCCGAATGTCACATTAAAGACCTGCAAAACAGAATGAACACTCTAATGTCAAAGTAGTTAAAAGTCCGAACTAAATCTAGAGAGAATTGAAATGTTCTCATACCTCTAAATGAACGGAATGGTTCTATTTATAGGTGAAGACTCCAACAGCATTCCCGACAACGCCTCAACAACTTTTTAAGGTTACCGTGAAACGCGGCGTATTGTTGTGGAGTGTGTTGGATGTGTGACCGAGTCGAGGTAAGCTAATCGGTTCAACTAGTGATGTGGGAAAGGGATTATGAACATGCTTGTTCGGCTCGACCACCGAAGAAAGTATTTGATTCAGTCAAATGGATGAGCCAAGATATGTATACTTGGGGTAATTTTCTATAGAATCTAGGAACCACGTGTCAGATTCCAGACCCACTCATCTCCTGCGATGTGTATGCTGAAATCTACCTCCAACGCTTAGAGTTTGAAAAGGGATACATGTAATCCCTCTAAATTATTTTAAGTGACCCATAAATTTATTTTATCATTAATTGACTAATAGAAATGACGAAGAATATCATTTTTGAAACTTTAGGAGCATATTTAGGGAAAAAAATTATCAGATTTCAAAAATTAAGAGGGTCTCTTTTGAAGTTTCAGAGACGCTAGATAAAGATCCTCCTATTGAGTGATTTTTCAATTATTTATTTAATTTAAATAACAAGATATGGTATTTATTTAAATATAGATCCATACTTGACTAAAATCTTCATCATCTTATTTGAATTTACCATTAAAATGTTGGGTATGAAAATAATTCTCGCCTCTTGTACATAATAAAAATAAATAGTGGGCAAGTCATGTGGGATCATAGTTTTTTAATTAAAAAAAATAAAAGAAAAAATATTTGAGGATCCTAATGAAAAACGAGTAGAAGCTCAGTTAATTAATGAATAAAATGAATACACATTGGAAACGACGAGCATGCATTATTTGATATATATTAATGGGTGTGTTATAATTGACCGTTTTTGCAACTTGAATAGGTCGTATAAATTATATCCATATTTCAATAATATGAACAATAAAATATAGGCTACTATTACATATTATTTTTAGTATTTATATTTTTAATTTTTATATAGTACTTCTTAGTAATGAGTTTAGTCTCTGTCTAACTTATGGTGTTAATTATTATTATTATTACAGTCAAACATGTAAATAGATTTTATTTGTTGGTAAAAATATAAGTTTAGACCTTCAAATTTGTTTTCATTGCCATTATTCGTCTGAAATAAAATTAATTTAATTTAAGTCACATATATACTTCTAAATGTTTACAATTTTCTATAATTTTTACCCATTTTCCTTTCAACATTTTTTTAAGTTCAACAATAGGCTAGAGAATGTGAAATTGGGAGAGTAAATAATGTGTTGACCAATTGAATTACGATGACTCTTCTTTAACTATATTTTGTCCTATTTTCTTTTCCAATTTACAGATAAATATCACATAATATTTTCATTACTAACAATAAAAATTTTCCGTTCATTTTTAACACAAAATTTAATAAAATTTTGGAAGAGTTTGAACCATGTGCCTCATACTTTAATACCGAAAGTTATATTATGGACAAACTGACAATTTTTATATTAATAGATTAAAATAAACTTTAATTATTTAACGTAATCGTTGCATCACTTTACTATATAAAATCGTGGAGACTTGGTCTTATAAAAGATATTGGACATTCACATATAGAAATGTGATGGTACTTTTTATTTATTTATTTATTGAAACTGTGATGGTAGATTCATTTCATATTAAATATACCTTTCTTTTCCTTCATGTCAACGTCCTCTTTAACAATGTAAACACATCACTATTTATTCGACAATGACATTCACAAACAACACATTTCACCATATGATCTATCAAAAAAGATATATACTTGTTTATATATTAGGAATTCGGTCAAACTTTCTTCTAATCCGTATCAATCTTATAAATCAATTATCAAATACATTAGATATTATGTTGAACTTTCATTATAAGAGGTTAGATTTCTTTGCCCACGCAACACAAAATCATCGACAAAAGTAGAAAAGAAGTTGACACAATCTAACTCGAAAAAAAATGACATTTATAGTAGTAGATAACAAAAAAAAAAGTTAAAGAATGGAAGAATAAATATTGAAATGCAAATAAACCTTTTAAAAGGATGAAATTTTTTTTTCCATAAATATTTTACAATGTTTTGCACATATTTTCCACATTTTCTCCCCCTTTCCACGTAATACAGGCGCTAGTTAAGATTTTAACAACATGTGGATATTTCTTTTAGAGCTGCGGACCACGAAGATAGTTTTGAAACTTTTTGAAATGTCAAAAGTATAAATGTAAATTTTTAAAATTTAGTAGTATTATTGAAATAATGGTTAAAGCTAAGAGACCTTCTCTGTAATTTACCAAAATATGTGTGTATGTATAGGTAGATGAAGGAAAGCTTGTGCTTGTACACAAAATCGCTGCGTCTTGAACTTTGGGAGTACCATATTTTTGGAGGACCACCCATTTAAGGTTGGGTCATCAAAACATGTGCACGTATCAAACTTATAGTTGGATCATAAATGAAATTAAATCCTTCTTGATTATAATTTGAGAAAGAAACACCAACTAGCATAATCATAGTTATATTCTTCTCTAATTTGTTCGTAATCTTTCAAAACAGGTAACAAAAACAAAGATTTTTCAATGTTGATATTGAAAGGATAGTTCTATAATCTTGGTAGAGTTCGATTAAGAAAAAAAAATTAAATTTGAATTTATTTGAATAATGTTATTTTTATAAAATTTTTAACTTTCTATTATATTTAAAATTACATATTTATTTAATTTCAACATAACTTAAGTGTACAGTCTAAAGATTGTGGATTCCAAACTCTCACCGAAATACTAACAAATAGCTTTACAAAAATTTTATCCCAAAATCTTATGAAATAATTTTTTAATAATTACCAAAAAGTGAAAAACCATGTGGTCTGCCGGCCGAGCCACCTAACCGTAGGCAAAACCAATACGATAATGTTTTTTTTTTAATACTAAATTTTAAAAATCAAACGAGATTGGGAATTATAATTAAAGTTTTATTCAGATTTTCTGACTCTGAAGTCTTTCGTCCTCCAATTTAGTCAAAAGTAGCACAAGGGATTTTGTATCTATCATGACGAATCAGTCTTCAACACGTCAGCAATTTAATTTCGTCGTCACACGTGTTGACACGTAAAACTGAGCGTAGAACGTGGAACCGATTGTCCCTTTTTAGACCGCAATCCTGGACCGGACCCGAATTTCTTTATTCCCGAATATTACTTGCAACTGTAGTGATTTTTTTTTAATTTTATTTAAACCTATTTAATTAACGTGCATTTAACACGATTAAATTGAAATTACATTCAGCATATAATAATATTATATCCAAAGTATATTATTTCCCCCTTAATTTATGTATATTTTAAATTGTAATCCTATGTGTTTATGTTTTTATTTCTTTCGTTTACATTCTTACAATACAAATATTTAAAAAAAGGACGATACGAGAATTTAAAAAACATTAGTAATAGTAATTTTAATGCATCAA